GAGTCCTTGACCATTGTATTCTCTTCTTCTTCTCTTTCTTTTCATTCTATTCACACATAGTCCAAATTTTTGGTGAGTTGAAAGTAATTGGAGGATCGATAAGATTGTGGACAGATGCCCACAAATTGATACAATAAAGAGCCAAAATTTTTAAATATAACAAAGCAGATAAACGAGAGAATGGAAAACAAATAAGATGATCGAGAACAACACTCTTTGTATCAACTGAGAAAAATTTATATGTTGTAGGAGATAATGAGTTGTAAACGTTTTAGGGTTAATTTAAGAAAATTAAATATAATCAATATATTAATTTAAGGAAATTAAATATAATCCGATGATCGTGCACTGTCATTACTTGTTGAACAATGCAACTAATCAATTTGATGCTAAAGGAAGATCAAAAGACATAGTGGATATGATTGACTTTATACCAATAGTTAAGGGTAAAAATGAAATATAAATGTTTTTCATGTATCCTCACTTTTTAAGTAGTATAGATATAGATATAGATTAAGGGTAAAAACAAAATATAAATCTTTTTCATGTCTCCTCACTTTTTAAGTAATATAGATTGCTCTTGTTATTATTTTACTTTTTTTTTGTTAGATAGGATTATGTGTTAATGGTGTTAATTTATACTAAATTTATGTATGATGGATATATTTTATATTTTTTTAGCTAAATTATTATTTTTTTTACACAATCGGTTCGACCAGTTAACCCAATGACTGAATCAATGAACCATTGACCCAGTCTCCTTGCTGGTTCGATAACCAGTCCGGTTCTGGTAACATTAATTCAATCTCATTTTGATCTCTTAACTCCCAATTATGTCATTTTAGTCATTAAAATTTATAATTTATTTTTTAATGATTCAATTTTTAATCTCCACAAAAATAATCAACATAAAGTGTTATATGTGTCCATTTTCATTAATTATTTAGACAGGAGCTAGTAATTGGACCATTAAACAAGAGAATTGAAAAAACCTTAAAAAATGAAAGTAACACTTAAAAGTTGAGACCAAAGTGAGGCTGAATATATATTTCAAAGGACCACCAGAACATTTCGCCCAAAAATAAAACATAAATTGCATGAACTAAACTTAAATTGACTTTTATTTTTCCAACTCAAATTAATACCCTCTCCCTTGCTACGTTGTTACCACAATTAGCTGTTGATTGCTTATGGTATGTGATGAAGCACAAAAATGGTTTTGCACACCATCTGTCAAGTGTAAATAATAAATGCAGTAAAAGTAAAGAGAGAATTGGAGGAGACAAGATTTATAGTGGTTCGGTCAACTCGACTTACGTCCACTCTTGCATGACTTTCGTTGTCGAGTACTTTATTAATTTAAAGGTATGTAGATAGAGAATACAAGTTTCGAGGGAGAATAGAGAATCAAGGAAGGTGTGGTGCCAAGCAATCAGTGTCCTTCCAAGTGTTGATGGAGCGTGCAATTTATAGTGGCCCCCAAACAGGTTGGGGCTATTTTCCAGCGACTAAGCAACTATTTCAGTGGAGCTCCAGATCTCTTCTCAACGAGCGAGGTGGTTGAGGAGCTCTCCATGAAAAATGGTCAAAGATGGACCGTTTCCTTCGGTGGTGCAGATAAAACTTCCCATGCTCTCCCCCTTGATGACGTGGCTAAGCAAAGAGTCTAACTGGTCTTGGACTATATTGGACTTGGTGGATTTTTCATGAGGTTGGGCTCCTCAATTGAGGTTGGACTTCTCACATAAATTGGGCTATTTGGGCTTGACTCATCATTTGCACCTCAATGCCCTGTATTCAATGAGACTTGGAGAAGGGTGCATTAACTTATATCTTGAGTTTCATGTGGTGGAAACTTCCTCTGCTAGATGACTCTTTCCCTCCACAATGTATTTTTGTTTTGCATGCCTCAAGTTTTTTCCACTTTTGCTAGGATTTTTAAAAGAGCCCATAACCTTCAATTTGGATTTTTCCCTCTTTAAAAACCTTAAGCTATAAATATAATCATCTCCTTCATCCTTCCCATTTCATTCACTTTGAGATTGAGCACCCACCTCTTGAAAACCTTGAAAACTCAAGTCCTACCCATTTCGAGTGGAGTTTTCAAGTGGGCAATGTTGATTGAAAAGGGAGTGGTGGAGATCGAAGGAAAGGAGGAGATAGGCGCTGGTTTGGGCGAATTTAAGGAATTTTCTTGGAGTGCAGGGGGCTGCCCAGGCATTGGAAGGGCTGTCCTGGACAGCTTGGGAGCTAAAGGAGCTATCCGGGATAGCTTAGGCGCTGAAAATGCTGTCC